CAAGGCATCGGAGTGGAATCGACTAAATATTCAGAATCAGCGTTGAATTCTACGTCTAGTGATGTACTTCTTAAAGAATTTGCACAACTTAAATTTTCAATGTTCCAAAGGGGGGACAGGGGGCAGATTTGGCAGGCGAAAAATAAAATTTTTTCAAAAAAAATCTGAATCGGCCATTTTGTTCAACGCTGATTCCAAATATGTGACTTTCAATCGGAAATTTTTTCAAAAACCGACTTATCGATACTACTCCTTTAGTCCTAAAAATAGCTTTTTGCCAAGTGAAATGAAAGTGTTCAAAAGACATGAGAATCACAGAACATAGGTAATTTAACATGCTGAAATAGATGGCAACATCAGAAACTAAAATACAGGAAATGTTTTATGCTCGGTTTTTCAGAGACCCAATTATCAAAAACGGTGTAAGCCTCGAACTAAATTTCGCTTCGGCGAAGCATTTTGGAAGAAAGAATGTCAAAACAAAAGTTGTTCAAGATCAAATTCTACACGAGATGAGAGAGGAAATTTTCGAAAAATGTAAACCTCGATTTTTAAATTCAGAAATACTGTTTTTAAAAATTTAAATTTAATAATTGAGGTTTAGATCTTTCGAAAATTTCTTCGCTCCTTCCGTGTAGAATTTGATCCAAACAACTTTTTCTCCTGCACTTTTCTTCCAAAATGTTTCTATCATGCAAAAGCTTGTTCACGGCGTCCTTAAAAATACTTTTTACACCAGAAACGGATCGGACGAGTCAAACCTGAATATCTTGGTCATACCTGGCCCGACAACGCTGAAATTTATTGCTCTATCGAACGGCAACAGGTTCAAGAATTTGTGTCCGAAAATTAAAATTTTAAAATGGTGCAAAAAGATGAGACCTAAAAATTTCTTTTTGTCAAAAACTACAGGTCCGATAACAGAAAAAAATGTCGAGATATATATTACAAAGTGCCCTTCACAAACTTGGGGAAAAAAACAAGTGAATAGACCCGCCACCCGCCTTAAAATCTTAAAGTTTAATTTTTAGGTAATCAATTATCTGTCGATAAACCTTCGATTTTTTATTTTCAATCAATAATTTGACTTTATTATTTTTTCATTCTTCTATTCCTGCCATAAACGTTCTTTACCGTTTATGAGTTATCACTTTCTTGCCATCGCGTTTATTACACTAATAAAACAGAAGAATGATTGTCTTTAACCTCAATTTTTTTCCTTCAATGCCACAAATTTGAATATTTCTAGTGAATGTAGCAGACATAAAACTATTCAAATAACAACGCATTTCAGTCAACGAGAAACTACCTATGTAAGTAAATTAATTATCGTAGTCACACATCACTACCGTAGTAAATAGAATTGAGCCGTTTTAACCAATATCAGAATTGAATAACGGGTGGCGCAGAAATAATGAGCCACTTTTGTTTCCTATCCTGAGGCATCTAGATGTTATTTGAAGCCTCTGCTCTAGACTCAGAAGATAGCGAACTTAGTCTTAGTCTTTTATGTTTATTGACACACAAAACAGAAAATAAAGAAAGAAGGAATAATAAAAGATGTTACATGAACTGTGTCAAAGGGGGTACATCAAAAAGCATAAGGGCTTGTAACTACAACAAAAAGTTGTTGTAGACATACACCTGATAGAAAAGTGATATACATGTAATACATAACAGATCAGAAGGAACTCAGATGCAGTTTTAAATTACTTTTGAAAGCTTTCACATTAGGTGATAAAGCAACATACGAAAGTAAATTATTTTTAACATACGAACTGCAAGTTTTTGGACAGACTCAAAAAGTTTAGTATGCGTAAGAAACTTAGTATCAAAAACTGCGTTGCCATAGTTCAGTTTACCCAAATGCAAGTATTGTAAAGATGAAGACGAAGAAAAGCTGAAGCTTCAGCAAATGTTCTATTTATGGCACGTAACATACGACGACAAGCTAGAGCAGTTATTTTAAAATGGGGTTTCTAGCTTAGCTCGTGTGAAAAATACGAACTCAAAAGTTTGGGTGTATTTTCATATTTGAGAGATTCCCCACTGATGCTAAAACTGAGAGAAGTAGAAGGGTTAGCAGACGAAGAGAAATATGTCAAATGACACTTGTCAGAATTTAAAGACATAAAATTACAATCATACCAGTTAGTAACACGATTTATTTCGGTTTGAACAAATTGCTTGACCGTATTCAAACTATCCTCTTTCGCGAATGTACGGATCAAATACACATCATCAGCAAACAAACTATACAGTACTGATGACGAAGTAGGAGGAGACAGATCGTAGATAAAACTAAGGAAGAGCAGAGAGGATCTAAAATGGACCCCTAAGGCACATCAGAAAGGATATATGCTACACTAGAAAGAGTAGTTCCTATTTTTACATATTGTGAACGACCGTTTAAATAAGATCTAAACCAATTTAGAAGTTTATCGTTTACACCGACGTATTTTAGTTTTTGTAGTAAAACGAGGTGCGGTACGGAATCGAAAGCCTTACCCAGATCGACACTCACACCAATACTGATTTTGTTATTAGAAGCATTATCAAATAATCTGTTCGGGACATATAGTAAACCATCAGTGGTTTAAGCATTCGGTCTAAAACCGAACCGGTTAGCAGACAGAAGTTGGTAAGTCAAGAGATGGTCAAGGAGTTCTTTGTGGATGACTTTCGCAAAAACTTTACTTACTGTATTCAAAAGAGAAATTGGCCTATAGTTGTCAACAGAACCAATAGGTCCTCTTTTATGGATGAGAGTAACAAAAGAAGTTTTCCGTTTATCAAGAAATATTTCTGCGTCAAGTGAGAGTTGAAAAAGATAAGCTAACTGTGTAGAAATGGAGGACGTAAACAGTTTGAAGAAATAAATAGGAATATTGTCAGAAGATAGCGAATTTTTCTTAGTCTTTTATATTTAATAACGCAGAGTGAGTTTTATAAAAAAATAGCGTAGAGTAAGAAGCAGAATACGACGCTCACTCGAAATTTTCGACTTATGAATAAGCATTTTAGCAGTAATGTAAAAACTGACGGAAGAGGGTAGATATAGGGATGTTCAACAAATTTATAGCTATCTTCCTGGCTAGACCGCTTCTTCACAGAATATCAAAATTTAAAAAATAAGAAAAATCAGTCGTTCCGGATGGCGCTAGATTTGACAAAAAGCAGGGAAACCATCAGTCAAAGAATGTGGAATAAGTGCTTGACATGCTGAATTTTGTAGAACAGAAAATTCTCTGTCTTCTGAGTCTAGAGCAGAGTCTACAAATAACATCGAAGTGCCTCAGAATAGAAAATAAAAGTGGTCCATTATTTCTGTGCCACCCGTTGGATTGAAAATATTTTTATATATCACATATCTATGTTTACGTACATTTGAAATGACTTGTCTTTGCAGTGTAATGGATTATCAGGCAGTCGAATATAAAAATCAAGTTGAAAACATTCGTATTCGATATATTCAAAATATTCCCTACTTATTTTTACAAGATGTTCGCTCATATTTTCCTGTCGTAGCAACGCTCCGACTAAATAAGGCTCAAATTCCGTTTGTTGTTGATACTAATAGCGATGAATTATTGTTACCATTGAGAATACGAGCGTATCCTAGCGAGTTACTTACAGGTTGCGATTTAATTCAAACAATAAGCACAAATATTGACGAAATAGCAGAAGAAGAAGCAGAAGAACAACAAGATAATGCTGACAGTAGGATAATCAATGATAAACTCGAAACATATCTTACACAAATGCACGCAAAGGCTAAATTAACCATTTCTCAACTAACAGGAATTGAACAAATCAAATATTTAACGAATGTAGGATGTTTCGTCTTTTGTATGTGTCGAACGGCGGAAATCGTTCAACACATATAGATTTTTGTATTATCACACTTTAAAAAAAATGCGCCTTAGGATCAAATTAAGTGGCCGTGCCAAAACAAATCAATGAATTTTCTGTTCATTGCGTCTGTGTTACGTCTGTATTTTTGTGACACAAGAACACAATTATGTAGCAAAGCAACGTTTGAGTGTCTGAATAATTCGATTTTAATCTGAACTGTAAATGTTTTTCACAATTGTATAATGTTCTTACCGTTTTTAACGTTCACTATTACGTTTCACTTTATTATTCTGTTATGTTTTGTTGCATACGTAGCTTAACTTGCAAAAACGTTTTTCTTTTGACCGCTTTTTATGAACTACGTCTTAATATATTTTGCTGATTGAAAGTCGTTTCGATTTAGTTTAACATAAGGCGAAGTTAGAATTGCTTTGATCTAGAGTAATTCAATGAAATCCGTTTGTTCAATTCTCCCTTTTTGGGCTTTGACTTGTTCTAAAGGAAAGACGATTTTATAAATACACCTTCTCTGTTATCCGATTTAATGCCAATTCCCTAGTGCAACTTCTTGACTCAAGATCTTGAAGAGAAAACGTAAGAAGTTAAAGAAATGTCAAGAATCTAAGATCTTGAACTTCTTGTAGCGAGATCTTGAAAATTCTTGAATCATCATTTTGTTTTACACTCTTGTGTAATCAAGCAATAAGTTCGAACGACTGAAGAACGTCATGAAACTTTTCAGTAATCGACAAAAACAATAGTTATTTTTGTCATGAGTGTAACTATTAACGTATCTACATGAATAGCGATCAAACTGTTTATCTGCAATCTTTTTGTCAGAACATTTTCTCAGCTAATGAGCGAGACGGTCGTGTTTCAGCGTTCTTACGCTATACTCCACTTCATTCATAATCTGTGAATGTTCGAAACGTTTTGTTCAGTCATCTAATGATGACGAAGCAGCTGTGTTAGCGAAAACGAAAACAATTTTTGAATAAAATTTCATCCATTTGTTGACCCTTGAAACAAAAGATCTTGTATTAGCAATTGTCGACCTAGATAGTTTCAAACTTCAAGTTTTGTTTGTTTCTAGTTCTCACAATAACCTATACTAGGTGAAATAATCCACTTTTGATTATTTTCATCAAAAATTAAAAAACTCATAACTCATTCATCCCACCTTCTTCAGAATGTCAAGTTATAGTGCAGCTCAGTCAAGTAAAGCTCAGTAAGTGTTGTAAAACCCAACAGAAAATACTTTGGTTTTTAAAAGGTTTTCGCAGAAATCTTTGGAACGACGAGAATATTTTTTATTGATTTTAAAACAGAATGAGAATGAGCGAATAAAATAGAGTATATCTTGACAATCTCAAGTAGGCTGGATGGATTTTGACTAAGTTATGAATTTTTTAGTTTTTGATGAAAATAATCAAAAATGGGTTCTTTCACCTAGTATAGGTTTTCACTCGATTCTTGCATTTTGTTCTGAAAACTAACATTGCCACGAGATTCAGCATAGTCGATAACCTATGTTTTCAGTCATTTCTCACAGTCACAAATCTAACGTCAGAGCGGTGTTAAGGCTTCAGGAAACGTCCGTAGCTCCCGAATCATGGATTTTCAAGATGTCGCTTAGATGTACTTTTGTAGAGGACAGTTCTTACTATAGACTTTTCGTAAATTTGATATAGTTCGACTAAAAAACATCGTAGAGAGCTCGGGAACATCTCATTTTGTAGAGAATTGTTTGCCCTATCATTCTATGTACGTTGAACAAAATATTATTCACAGATTCTAGGTGCTGGAAAACTACAGTGGTTACAAAAACTGATCAACTGGGTGTATTTTCGATTTTTTTCCACAGCCGTAAACGCTAAGAAGAATTTAAATAGTGACCTGAGTATGGAAAATTGTTTCCAACAACGATTTGAGAAACTAAAAATCATCGCTAGATTCTCAATAATAAAGTTTTCTAGAAAACCAAAACCCTAGTTTTGGAGCACCCAGAACCCGCGAATAAAACTTTGTTCAAAGTGCGTAGAATGATAGAGCAAACAAATCTCTACAAAATGAGATGTCCCCGAGCCTCTACGATGTTTTTTAGTCGAACTATATATGGTTGTTTTTTGTTTTTTGCTTTAATTGAAAATGAGTAGAAATCAAATTTACGAAAAGCCCAAAATAGGACTTTTTCAAGTCGTTGGGGGGGGGGGGGGGGGGGGGGGGGGGGGGGGGGGGGGGGGGGGGGGGGGGGGGGGGGGGGGGGGGGGGTGGGTGGGGGTGGGTGGGG